GACGCGCGGGAAGCGTGTCAAGGGCTACGTCCACAGAGCGGGATTGGCTGGGATTGCTCACAGCGTCCGCCGCGTCCGGGCGTACGGTCCCGAGACAAACAACGTCACGATTGCTGCGGATCTGACGTGCTCTTCGCTGGCTGCTCTCTGAGCGCTTGCCATAGTGGGCCGTTTATAACGAAAAATACAGCCATCAGGTTCAAAATACAAACCTGCGATTGTCATTTGCGGATACTGTGGATCTTATTGAGCCTATTTCTGAACACGACGGGTAAATTGCAAATTTCGTTGAAGTATCCCTTTAAATGACTCTAGTTTCGCTCCCTTTTTACGACTTCAAGCCGCCATCGCCCCATGAAATTTGTTTTTCGTCAAAAATATTTTAGAGAGGCACCACAGACAGTACGGTGAAGAGCCATTAATTTTATTTTAGGAATCGGAGGTGGCCGTGGGACCTTTGGTATGGCATGAAGAAGTCCACGTCGCCTGATGCCGTTCGTCGTTTAGGTATCGCGTTTCGGAGTGTGAGGCGCCGCCCTCGGTTACAAAAAACACAATGGGCTTGCTACGGCTAAAGCCCCTCGATGTGTTTGCGCTTGTCTTGCAAGTAGCGTCAAATACGCGAGTGCACGAGGCCCATGTCTCGAGCGGCCCTTGGAAGCAAATGGCGGCGCAGCACTGAAATGAGCGGGCCTTGGAAGCGAATGGCGGCGGAGCACCCGCTCCCCGCACGTGTTTCGCGCGCTTCCACAACAATGGTTGGCGGTACTTGTAAAAAACGCTTTTATCAAGGGTCTTTAGCTATGGCTACGCACTGGCGGCACCTCCGATTATTACACGATACCCGCCGTTTCTTAACAAGGCGTCGTAATCGGATCATGGCCGCGCCCAAGCGCACACCAAGCGAGCAAGATGGCGGCGCCCTGAGGCTCTACATGCAAGCATGTATAGACAAGACGTAAGAACGCACGACCCTGGGGGTGCACCAAAACTCCAACCTGGACCCTAAGACGTGGTTACAAATGAGGAGTAGCACCTAGAAACAGGGACTGCCATCGTGAAAAGAATAGCCTCTCGAGCCGGTGGTGCCGGCGAAAACGTCGCCAAGGCGATCGCACAGGCGGCGCTAATCTCCAGCCATCCCACGGACATCTCAAGAAGGACTATCCAAAAGAAGTCTCAGAGTGGCTGTGATCAGGACATGAACCCTACGTGCACAAATCCACAACCGTACACAAAAAGAAGAATCGTCGATTTTTTTTTTTAATGATTCACAAGTGCATCAGTTCGCGCGCTCTTACTGCATAGTTTTTTATGTTCGTATTCGTTCTGCCATAGCCGCTCAATTCCTCAGTGTGGGGGACAAGTTGAGCGGCCTTGGTCGTGCCATCGCTGTATACATTGTAGCCGCGGTGTAGTGGCGTAGTCATACTCGTGAAGGCTAGTGTAGGCCTGACTGTGGTGTTTGCCGCAATGTCTTGAGGCCGCGATCCACAGCCATCATCATCGCTAGCGTCATCGGTATCGGTCTAGCAGGCAGCGCGTTATGGATTTGGACGTGAAATTACGGTGGTTTGTCATCAATAGAAATGTTTTAAAACACCGATTTTTATTTTATTCATTATTTTTTCATTCTTATGCATTTTAGTACAAAAACCTTAGTTCCTCAAGCATAGTTCTTAATTGCCACCACTGTGCTACCATCATGATCCTGAAGTAAAAGCTCAGGGTGACATTACGGTGGCTATAAACCTTTTTCACAAGGGCGCTGTCATCTTGAAGTATCGTCAATTCCAGTATGGACGAAAACATTGTTTGGCCGTCGCCACGCCATTAGAATGCATTTAGGAGATAAGCGTAACCGTCACCAATTCTCGTTTTGACTCACCTCTATTATTTTGCTATTTGCAGGTTGAAACGTTTTGATATATTTTCGTCGCCCATACCGGATATGCCTAGCTGGAGGTCGGGGGTGAGAGTAAGCGGAAAAGGTCTATAGGGAGTATTCACCGGCGGCCATATCCCTGTGCGCTGCTGCTGAGCGCGTGCTGACGGCGAGCTTCCGCAGTTCTTTTTGGAGCGTGCATTTAGCACCATCAAGGTTGCCGGTCTTCGCAGGTTATTAATGTGAGCTCGTTCTGAGCATGCGCTCTAAACAGCACCCACAAATATGGCGTCCAGTGGATACCTCCTATAGAAGCATCGACGCGCGCGAGAAGGAGCAGCGGGTCAGGATAAAGCGGTGGCGCTGCTGGCAACACTGAGATGCGTCGTCCGCTTGCGTCCGCTGCGATCCGGGTGCTTTATCGCTACGCGAGTAAAGTGCGATTCAAACGCACGCATTTTCGTGCCCGCGTAGGCCGTGTGGCTCCCGGAAATTGCGTATTTCATGACATCGCGCTGATTCCTTGCGGATTCTGGGCGCGAATTAGAAAGTTGGATGATTTCAACTTTTTCTGAACGCGCACGAAGATGACAATCGGTGGAGGGCACTATTTCCGGCTCCGCGTTTCTTTCCCGTCCGGCGCAGATGCCCTCCGCTTGCCCGAAGCCGCACCGTCTTAACCAACGCGCAGGGTTGTGACTCAGAAGACGTACCGGGAACAGAAAAAAACGCCACGAAATATGCAATTTCCGGGAATTGCACGGACTACGCGCGCACAGAAATGCGTTGGCTTGGATCGCGCTTAAGGGTTGCGTGCGATACGCATAAATCCATTTGGAGTTAAACTATGCTGGTTTTGGACACGTGGCAAGCGTTACGCAAGAATAAACCTGCCGACACCTTTGTCGTCCTCGTCGTCACCGTCGTCGAGAACGGCGAAGGAGGCTTTTTTTTTTTTCTTTCTTTCTGGCAGAAATGTATCTCCTGGTGCATCCGGGGGCATGGCAGTGTGTTGTCCGTTTTGCCGTAGGGGTAGTCTGGACGCATGAGGCAATATTTTTGGAGAAGCAAAACAAACGAGCACTTCTAGCGAAGCCAATGAGCCTTTCCCGGCGCGGCGACTGGAATAGGCATCTGAGAGTAAAGCCCCTTTATCTGAGTCGATGTGTGCGCCACCCGTCGTCGTCATAATATACCAGGGCGCCGCAGCACACGGAGCAAGCTGCGCGATGCTGACTTTGGTGCACGTGGAGCGAAAGCTCGCGCTGCAGAACCCAGGGATCGTGGGTTCAATCCTAACCCCTGCCCGTTTCGATCTGGATGAGCATCGTACCGTCTAGTCCTTCTAAATAAGCTCATTTAGTGGACGTATTACACACACCACAGCGCACCATAGCAAACAACACTTACACCTTACACACGAAAAATAAAGCAAAATTCAAGCAAACCGCGCTGACTGACAACTCTTTTTATATAACTTTGTCTTCTTCAACCTTTTTTTTAGGCATCTAGGAGATCGGCGCGCGTGATTTGGGAAATTCAGTGGTGCTAGAGGTTGAAGAAGACAAAGTTATATAAAAAGAGTTGTCAGTCAGCGCGGTTTGTTTGAATTTTGCTCTTAGAGCGCAGCTCTTACCGCTCATTCACACTGGAAGCGGATCCGCGTTCGCGAAGCGGTTGCGAACGCGGTTGTATAAGGATTCAGTACAATTGCACGCGCACTTAATGTCATCGAGTGCGCGTGCAATTGCACTGGATCTTTATACAACCGCGTTCGCAACCGCTTTGCGAACGCGGATCCGCTTCCAGTGTGAATGAGCGGTTACCCCCCCCTTCACACTGGAAGCGGATCCGCGTTCGCGAAGCGGTTGCGAAAGCGGTTGTATAAAGATCCAGTGCAATTGCACGCGCATTTGATGTCATCGTGTGCGCGTGCAATTGTACTGAATCCTTATACAACCGCGTTCGCAACCGCTTTGCGAACGCGGATCCGCTTCCAGTGTGAATGAGCCCTTAGGGGCCCGTTCCCGGCTTGAGCGGCGTCGGCGTCGGCGTATCCAAGGTCATCCCAAGGTCACGTGGCCCCCAAGGTCATCCCAAGGTCACGTGACCCCCAAGGTCACCCCAAGGTCACGTGACCCCCCGAGGTCACGTGACCCCCCCGAGGTCACGTGACTCCCCCCGAAGTCACGTGACACCCCCCAGGTCACGTGACAACCCCCAGGGTCACGTGACCCCCGCCGAGGTCACGTGACCTGGGGGTGTCACGTGACTTCGGGGGGCCTCCGCACCGTCATCGTCATCATCACAGATGACGTCATCAGTGACGTCACTGATGACGTCACCGACATCCGCACCGTCATCGTCATCATCACAGATGATGTCATCAGTGACGTCACTGATGACGTCACCGACATCCGCATCGTCATCGTCATCATCGCTGATGACGTCATCGGAGTCCGCATCGTCATCGTCACTGATGACGTCATCAGTGACGTCACTGATGACATCATCGGCATGGTCACGTGACTCCCCAAGGTCACGTGACCCCCCCCCCCAGGTCACTTCACACCCCAGTACCTTTCCCTCCTCCTCCTCAAGAGCTGCGCTCTAATTCGGTGTTACAGGGAGCTGTAAACGGCTTTCACTTTTTATTTTTCGTGTGTAAGGTGTGAGTGTTGTTTGCTATAGTGCTCTGTGGTGTGTGTAATCATGTGCAACCAACTCGCCCAAGCTGCTACGTTAACAAGATACATTTCTAGTACATCGGGCCTTTCTCCGCATCTCTCCTGAACCCCAAGTTTCCTTGTCATCTGGGAAAAAAAGAAGAAGACGCCGTTATCGAAAGGGCGTTTATCTATGCTCTCCGCTGGAGTTTGCGCTCTGTTCTTGATACTGGTTGCCCAAACCATTACCAACGCCATCAAGATCTCGCCTGGACCCCGACGACTACTGATGTGTGCGCGCAAGTGCCCGAAGACCTATTTTTTAGCGTTTTTTGTGTCGTCCAAATTTTTCTGGCGCTAGGCCTAATAAGCCTAGCCCGAGTACGGTCGCAAGGCCGCCGCTCCCCCAACGACGTCGGCTCCATAGAAGGAGCTGATACGCATGCAACATGGAAATCACCGTTGAAGGTGAACCGATTACAGACAGAGAATTGAACGATGGAACGTGGATTTCCACGGCACTCAAGAACCAGAAACGATTCCGCCGCCCCGGTGCCAGCAAAGAAGACGAAGGCTCGGCGTCAGGCAGTGCCGTCGTCGCTGCACCCGGCATGGGATACGAAGCCGCAGCTACCACCGGCAGCCATGAATGCATGAACAACAAAGGCAAGCCCTTCGACTCTACCGCTAAGAGGTCTAGGCCTCCCCCTAGAAGAAGAAGACCCCCGATCCCGAGACTGCCGGCAGATCATTACAAGATTGTCATTAGGCCACAGTCTGCCCTAGACCTTCCTGCACATGGCGGAGCGCTATTGCTCGAAGCGCTTCGCCTAGCCGCCAACATTACCGACGGCAACGCCCATTCAGAAGATATTCTTACGAAACACCCGGTCAACCGTACTTTCACAATCAGCACGCCCAGTGAGAAACGTGCGAACGCGTACCTCAACCTACAAGAGTTCGTGATTGAAGGAAGGAAATGCCCCATCAAAGCGTACGCGCCTGCCCCCGATCTTTCGGTAAAAGGGCTGATCCACAACGAGTATTGTGGCGAAACAGACGAGCAGTTAGTCCAGAACTACAACTCCTACAACCCCGACTGGATCGTCACGTCGGCAAGACGTTACGGGAAAACTAACCACATCATGATTACGGTAGCCGGAACGGAGCTCCCCCGGCTCCTCAGATACCCCGGCACAAGACATAAAGTGGTCCTCCTTCTCAACCGAGTGGAGGCCTGCTTCAACTGCCGCAAGACAGGGCACAGACAAGACGTCTGCCCACAAAAAAGACGAAACCTCTGCTTCAGGTGTGGAGAAGAGCACCCACCACCACAGGAGGGACAACCAACAACCTGCGCCCCAGTCTGCATCATCTGCGCAAGGGCGCACAAAACTGGGAGCAGCAACTGTAAGTTCAGATTCGCTAAGCAGCAAGCCTCCCAGAGACCCAATCCGCTCAGCAACCCTGACCTAAACATCGGGCAGAACTTTAAGCACCAGTCGAGGGACAGAAACCGGCAACACGAGACCCTGACCCGAGGTGACAAGAGGGAAGCATCATCGTCCTTCCCACCACTACTGCGAAGCAGAAGCAAGTCGGCGACACGGAGCAGCCAATCGAGGGACCGTCAAAAGGACCAACAACGATCGTCCAGCAAAAGGCGAGACCCCAAAAACCCCTGGACCAAGCCAGGAGAAAGGGCCATCAAGTGGCAGGAAGATCCGGAGAAGCAGGCCCTTCGTAATCAAGTGAGGGAGCAAGCCATTGTAATAGAACGAATGCAGTCCCAGATCAGTGTGCTAGGCAATAAAATCGCGAGTCTCACACAAACCCAACACCCCGGTGAAAGCGCAACAACCACTAACGACACGTGCCGCTCCCTCACCCCTTCCGAGGGTGCAGTTATGGAAGTAGAATCCACGAACGTTCTCAAAAGACAGGCCTCAAAAGATCAGCAAGATGCCCAGAATCCCAAGAGGCGAATCGAAACTGCCTCGGCGTCCCAAGCGGCGTCAACTTTCGCAGTCAAAGCTAAACTGGCTCTCGAACAGAAAGAGAGGCTCAACAAAGTAGAGGCCCGAGCAGATAGGCTAGAAGCGACATCCATGGACGTTGTCAAAAACCTGCAGCAGACCAAAGAAGAAATGATGGAGGCCATCAAGGCACTACAAGTCCAAGTGAGCACGATAGCGACCGCGGTTGCGCAGCTGACAGCTCCCCAACATGGCAGCCCATAACCACGAGATCAGTATCTGGCAATGGAACTGTAGGGGTTTTCGAGGCAAAAAATCCAACCTGCAGCTTCATATTCAAAATTTAGAAGTCAAACCGGACATTATTACAATCCAAGAACCAATGGGGCCCGTTAGCCTAACAGGGTACAAAGCCATATCTCAAAAATATATACCACGCAAAACGGGAATGACTGCTACGCTGGTGAGCAACCAACTCACGGCTATACAACACGAATTCGACAATTCTGCGGCAGATTACACGCTAACAGAAATTATTCCCGCCAAGAAAGAGCAGGTGAGCCTGTACGTCCTCAACGTGTACAGCTCCCCGAAAGATCAATCCAGAGAAGTCACGGCATTGCTAGAGTCGACCACGCAACTAGCCAAAAAGGGGCAACTAGTGATAACAGGCGACTTCAACGCGCCACACGTCGAATGGGGATACCACAAGTCGTTCAAGAAAGGAAACATCCTGTGGAACAAAATCCAAGAATTGGGACTCTCGCTACTAAACGATCCTCACACAGCGACCAGAACTGGCAACAGCATTAGTAGAGACACCACCCCGGACCTCACGCTAGCAAAGAATGTCAAGAACCCCGTCTGGCGGAACACCGGCGCGGATCTCAACAGTGATCATTACATCCTTGCCACTACCCTTCGCACGGAGAGTAGTAAGAAGAGTTGGAAACGAACTAAATTCACAGATTGGGATAAATTCAGGAAAGAAAGGAATCAAACGGCCCCGCCTGAAATTGAAGATATCGAAGATTGGGTCAAATCCATATGTAAAAGTGTAGATTCGAATACGAGCGAAATACCAACCGATGCCGAACACTGTAACCTCGATTCCAGATTGGCACACATGTGGGAGGCAAGAAACAGTCTCATGAAGAGATGGAAAAGACAAAGGCTCAACAAAAGGCTACGAAGTAGAATCGCCAAACTCGAAAGTGAAATCGAGCGACATGCGAGACAACTCACCCAGCAAGAATGGTATCAAACTTGTGACAGCCTAAACGGACAACTAGGGAATAAGAAGACGTGGCACCTGCTTCGCCACCTTCTCGACCCCACGCAGTCCAAGTCGGCTGCGCAAGGACAGCTCGCTGCGATCATCCATCAATACCCCGGGGACGGACAAGACTTCTTGGACCTCCTCCGGAAGAAATACCTGAACACCGCAGACGACGGAGAAACGAGCCCACAATATTCGGGGCGACCAAACGTGCAGCTGGACGAGCCGTTCACAGACGCAGAAGTCTGGGCCGCGCTGGGCCAGCTTAGAACAACCTCAGCGGCAGGACCAGACCTAATTACAAATAAGGCCCTCCGTAATCTTGACATGAAATCTGTCACGGCACTCACAGATTACATCAACGTATGCTGGGAGGCCGGATTAATCCCCAGCAGTTGGAAACATGCCAAAGTGACATTCATTCCAAAACCTAACAAGAAATTCAACGTGGACAACCTAAGACCCATTTCCCTCACGTCCTGTCTCGGGAAGCTCATGGAGCACGTGGTACTCAATAGACTACGGGACTACACGGAAGACCACGACCTCATGCCATACTCCATGGTGGGCTTTAGAAGGGGACTTTCCACCCAAGACGTCATGCTACAGCTATCACGTGACATACTCGACCCCTCCATTAAAAGCACAAGAGCAATATTGGGACTCGACCTCAAAAAGGCTTTCGATAATGTATCACACAATACCATCCTGAAACACCTAGCCGACCTCAACCCAGGCGAACGGGCGTACAATTACGTTAAAGCCTTTCTAGAAAACAGAACGGTAGAGATCACCATCGGGCCACTGAAATCCAACCCAATCAGGCTCGGCAACAGAGGAACACCACAAGGGGCTGTTTTGTCGCCCTTCCTTTTCAACCTGGCTTTAATGAAGCTTCCAGAAAGGCTTAACGCCATTGAAAACATCCATCATACTCTGTATGCAGACGACGTTACCATCTGGACGAACCGCGGCTCGGAAGGACAAATAGAAGAAGCTCTCCAAGCAGCGGCTGACACCGTAGAAGAGGAGGCACGGCGAGCCGGCCTCGAATGTTCCCAGCCCAAATCAGAACTCCTAGTCCTTAGACGGAGCAAAAAAACCCGAAGACAAGATCCCAATTGACATAAAGATTCAAGGCCAAAACATCGAAGAAGTGGAGAACATACGTGTCTTAGGACTCCACATCTCCAACACCCCCAGCAACATTGCAGCCCTTGGGAGACTCGAGAGCTCAGTACACCAGGTAGCGCGCATGATCAGGCGCATCGCTAACAAAAGACGAGGTATGGAGGAGCACGACCTACACAAGCTCCTTCAAGCTTTCGTCATCACCAAAATCACATACGCCTTCCCGTACCTCCGACTCAAGAAGGCAGAAGAACAAAAGATTGACATTCTAATCCGACACGCATATAAAACGGCGTTGGGCCTACCTAAATTTACGGCCAACGAGAAACTGCTCGCCCTGGGAGTACACAACACCTTTTCTGAACTTAAAGAAGCACATCTAACCACACAGACGGCTCGACTCTCCAGCACACCACCGGGGAGAATGATTTTGGATAGACTGGGCATTGAAGGAGAACCTATGGCGGACCATCCAGGCCCCGTTCCAGGCTATATACGAAAAAAGATTAGAATAAAACCTTTACCAAAGAACATGAACCCGCAAACCCAACAGGGTCGACGAGAGGCAAGAGCCAGGGCTATGCATCGACACTTGCAGAGACTCCAGGACGTCATATACGTTGACGCAGCCAACTATCAAGACAGCCGCCACCGGTTCGCCATCTGCGGGGTACCCCATCCCCGAGACTCTGACGCGGCCACCCCACTCATTGCCGCTACGGTATTCACCAAAAACGCGGAAACCGCGGAGGAAGCCGCAATTGCAGCGGCCATTGCCTTTACAGAAGCTACAACCATCGTGAGCGACTCTAAATACGCCATCACCAACTATGCCAAAGGCCGAATCTCACTCACAGCCAGAAATATCCTAGAAAATGTTGCCGAGACATCCCCCCTCCGAGAAATTGACCTGGTATGGGTCCCGGCGCACGCTGGAAACCCCGGAAACGAGGCTGCCCACGCACAAGCTCGAGTTAGAGCCGGCCGAGCAGTGGACAGTCCGATTCCGGAGGCAACCGGTGAACCGCTTACCTCCTACCACGACCACACCACCCATTTCAAACTCCGACGAAGAAAATTCCCGCCGCCGCACCGCTCTCTCTCGAGGGAGCAGCAGGTAGCGTGGAGAAGACTTCAGACGGACTCCTTCCCCAACCCAAATGTATACTCGCACATATTTGCTCAAATCTCTAGCCCGAACTGCCGCTTCTGCGGTGAAAAAGCTACTTTAGATCATATGATCTGGGACTGCAAAGCGCACCCTCCACCCCCAGATCTCATGGCTGCTCCCTCACTCGACGCGTGGCTCTCAGTAAAGGCCAGCGACGACCCAGACACTCAAGTCAAGGCCGTCGAATGGGCCTATGCAGTCCGAGACCTACATGGTCTGGACATCGCATACTGACCACATCCTACTTCTCCTTTTAATAAAGTTTTCACTCACTCACTTGTCATCTGGATTGCCATTAGCGTGTGTCAGGCAAGATCCTTCGGATATTGCATCCGCAACAAGTTGATACCACCTGAGGTAAAAGCCCTTTTTGGAATCTTCGCCCCATCAGTCGGCCATGGCACTCGAATAAGCAGAACGTATCGCCAGGAACTATAACAACTGTATTACAACTTTACACCTGACAGAAAAAGAGAAAAAAAATTTTGGCATCTAGGAGATCGGTGCGCGTGATTTGGGAAATTCGGTGGTGCTAGAGGTTGAAGAAGACAAAGTTATATATAAAGAGTTGTCAGTCAGCGCGGCTTTTTTTTTTTTATTTTTGCTTTATTTTTCGTGTGTAAAGGTCTGTTCACACGATGCATCTTTTAGGCGCGCAACAGTTTCGCGACACTCAAGTTTCGCGAAATGTGCTCGTTCACACGTATCGCTTCACGTGCAACAACGATGACGTTTAGACCCGTGAAAATAGTTTGGGTGTTGACCATAAAGTGGCGCTTCAGTTGAAAGCCAAGATCATCATCGTCACCATTAGCCATTCAGCGTCGTGTTCTCCATCTCTCGCCACATTCTAAGAGTCATAACGCATGCGAGCTGGTGAACAATCATAATTAAGAAATAACAAAAAGGGACATACACACCACCGTCTTAAAACCAGCACAACATACATCTGTCATTTACTTTCATTTACTTAATTTACTCTTAAATTGTCATTTACTAGTTATTGAATTGTCATTTACTGCCATCTACTTTATTTACTGTTGAATATGTATAATTTGGATGGAGGTTAACAAAGAAGAAGACTGTTGTGGAAGTAAATGAGAGCTGCACGCTGTGCTGGTTTTGAGACGGTACTGTGTACGTCCCTTTTAGAGCGCAGCTCTTAGGGGCCCGTTTCCGGCTTGAGCGGCGTCGGCGTCGCCGTCGGCGTCGCCGTCGCCGTCGCCGTTGGCGTCGCCGTCGGCGTCGGCGTAACCGCGCGGTGCATCATGGGAAATGTCCCATAATGCACCGCGCGAGCCCCCCCACCGGGGTCACGTGACTTCGTGGGGGGGCACGTGACCCCCCCGAGGTCACGTGACCCCCTGAAGTCACGTGACTCCCCTGAGGTCACGTGACCCCCTCCTCGAGGTCACGTGACCCCCCGAGGTCACGTGACCCCCGCCGATGTCGCGTGACCGCCCGATGACGTCATCGACACTGATGACGTCACCGGCATCCACATCGTCATCGTCATCATCACCGATGACGTCATCATCAGTGATGATGACGATGACGATGCGGATGCCGGTGACGTCATCAGTGATGATGACGATGACGATGTGGATGCCGGTGAGGTCATCAGTGATGATGACGATGACGATGTGGATGCCGGTGACGTCATCAGTGACGATGACGATGTGGATGCCGGTGACGTCATCAGTGATGATGACGATGACGATGTGGATGCCGGTGACGTCATCGGTGATTATGACGTCATCAGTGATGATGACGATGACGATGCGGATGCCGGTGACGTCATCAGTGATGATGACGATGACGATGTGGATGCCGGTGACGTCATCAGTTATGATGACGATGACGATGTGGATGCCGGTGACGTCATCAGTGATGATGACGATGACGATGTGGATTCCGGTGACGTTACCGACATCCGCATCGTCATCGTCATCATCACTGATGACGTCATCAGTGACGTCACTGATGTCGTCACCGGCATCCGCATCGTCATCGTCATCATCACTGATGACGTCGTCAGCGACGTCACTGATGACGTCACCGACATTCGCATCACCATCATCACTGGTGAAGTCATCAGTGACGTCACTAATGACGTCATCGGTACCCGCATCGTCATCGTCACTGATGACATCATCAGTGACGTCAGTGATGACATCATCGGCATTGGGGGTCACATGACCCCCAAGGTCACGTGACCCCCCAAGGTCACGTGACCCCCCCCCTGGTTAGTCTAACCCCCCCCCCCCCCAGCGTCCTTCCCTCCTCCTCCTCAAGAGCTGCGCTCTAATTCGGCGTTACAGGGAGTTGTAAGCGGCTTTCACTTTTTTGTTTCCTTGTCTCAAGGTTTTATTTCTTAATTATGACTAAAAATAGACGCGAATTATCATCATCACCAATTACGTCTTCGTCCATCGCTGGATTTTTTTCCGATATGCTACTCACTTTTCCTTCAGTGGTGCTTGACGTGCTTGCGGAAGAGCCGGCAGTATCCATCGTTCGTGGTTTCGGTTTTTTTCGGCAACACCGGCAGTGAGGTGGTCTTCTCAAACAGCTCGCTCCCCCCTCAAAGGCCACGTGATAGCGTCTCTCAGCGGCCATTGGCGGCGCCCTCAGAGTGATTAACAGGACTCGGCAAAGTTTGAGCAAAAGCTCGCTCCTGAAGCGAGGTGTGCGCGCAACTTTTTTTAGATGCGCGCGTCCTTTTCGGGCTCGTTCAGACGGCGCAACCATTTCGCGAAACTACGTTTCGCGACACTAGATGCGCGAGAAAAATGCATCGTGTGAACGGGCCTTAAAGGGGTAGTCCACCGATTTTTTGAGCTACATCAACTAACTATATTTTCTAACTCCCCGGCCTTTAGCCTTTCCGGTATGCTATTTAGTATCGCGAAATTCATAATAGGTATTGTGAAATCGGCAAATGAAAATGGTGCAAAAACCAATATTCAAATATTCGCGCCCTTTTCCGTACCGTGACGTCAGTGGCAGGCAGGCTTGCCAGTCGAGCAGGTAGTCTAAAAATAGAATATGCCAATCATTTGTTCCGTGCTGGAGCGCGGATACGGGAGCGAGCTTCCAAAGCACTCATTTGACACCAAGAAACTGCTTCAAATCCGTTAAGAACAACTTCTGTAGTCCAAAAAGTTAACCCCTGCCTTCCACTGACGTCACGTTTTCGTTGTTGCCAGTAGAGACTTTCAGTTTGAAAAACATGGTGAAGACCAAAACTGTAAATTCAATAACTTCGCGAAAAAACAATATTTTGACCTAATATTTGGGATACTATTTTAGCAATGTTTGTTGGTTAGCTTAGCAAAATTTCAAGCAAATCGGAGACAATGAAAAAAACGGTGGAGTATCACCGCATTCGGTGGGAGTTGGTACCACGAGGGCGCCACAGTATTTGGTGCCCCAGTACACTTCCGGTAGTGTATTTATTTCTTCAGTAACACACAACGATCGGAAAATAAGATTTTCCTTCGGAGAGGTTCCTGTAATAGGTTTGTAAGAACCTGCGCTTTGTAGAACGTAGTACAAATAACAAAAGGATGTGTGGCAAGAGGAAAAGAAGAGGAAAACCGGAAGCGCACAGGGGTCCGCCGATAGTTGGCGGCAGCGAGCTTGTTTGCAAACAAACATTGGTGAATAGTGCACTGTGGTGTGTGTAATCATGCGCAACCAACTCGCCCAAGCTGCTACGTTAACAATAGTGGATGTAGTACCGGCGTGCGGTCGGGTATCATAATGCGTGGTGCACGTAGGTACAGTGTTCTGGAGAGTTGTAGTGGCAAGAGCGGCGTCCGTTTACAATGGGCCGCGTGAAGACGGTCGACATGAATGGCCGCGAGGGGAGAACGTGGGGCTGGAGTTCCGGGCCCGAGGAATGTTGTTGGCACATGTGCGATGAGCGAAGAAGAAGGCGAGGTCGAGGAGGTACGCTTCTCCCGAACGCAGCAACCTATCACTTTTCTTTGTGGTGGAGTGATGGGGAGTCTTCACCGTTCTGTTGTCGTCTCGGTAATAAATCCAAGGAAAATGGCAGACACACACTGCTTCGCGCCGAGATGCAAGTCGGGCTACCCGGACAACAGGGGCAGCCTGAGCACTAGCGATCGTAAGTCGTCGCTGTTTCGTGTGCCAAAAGAGGAGTCGCGCAGACTACAGTGGGAACAAAATCATAAACGAGAAGAGAGCGCCTCGCCGAGACATCAGCGATGTGCGAGAGATATTTTGAACCGCGACTTATCCTACGGGACTATGTGCACATCGTGGTTGCGAAAAGCTCCAGTCGAACCACAGTAGTGCGCGCCGAAAAGCGCCAACGACGGCCGTTGATGGGGGCGCCCTACGGGCGCCCCCATCAACGGCCGTCGGGCGCCCTACGCCATCAACGGCCTACGGGCGCCCTACGGGCGCTCGTAGGGCGCCCTTAGGGCGCAGCACAACAGCGCATGGTGTCGTCTGCGCGCAAAATCTTCACGAGGCGGGCGCCGCCCTTGCCACTACAACTGTCCAGAACACTGTGCCTACGTGCACCACACATTATGATATACGACCGCAAGCCGGTACGCCGGTACCGCACGCCGGTTCTAATTGCTGATCTGCAGCTGAGACACCAGACGCCCACTGAGGCAGACTAACTTCCGGCTGTATAAACATAACCTTTTTTTTTAAACCCTGCGATGCGGTGTTTGTTTTTTGCAAGAAATTAGCAGTGCCTTTTAATGTATTTATTAGCTTTCCTTGAACATCGTTGACTCATTTCTGAAGGCGTACGGTACGTCTTTGAAGGCGATTTTTTTTCTTTTCATACACATTTGTAGTGGAATGCGTGCCGAGCAGCGAACTGACAATGCAGCCATGGCTAGAGAATGTAAGTGCGATTATCTTTTTGCTTGGAGATACATCACTTCACGGTCACATTAGCCTACATGATTTGAGGTTGAGTAATTGTAGGGATGCCGCAAATCGCCCCCTCGTTCAGACATGACAACTCGTCAAGTCTACCCGACTTGAGCTTTCCGTGAAGGGCGCCCCAACGTCTCATCCCTTTCTTTGGTCCAAGGGGATTTACGGGAACGGGGTGACATGGCCGCGTGGGGAAGCGAGCCGAGTAGCCGTTCTCAGAGCCGGGTTGGAGCAATACCACCTAGAACACAAGGCTTGCGCGTTTCCTACCTCTAAACATCATCACCAGTAGATCCCCTCAGCGCTCCTTAGGTAGCCCAGATGAGCACCATCGTCTGCTACATCGTCTGCTCCATCGTCTGCTCCATCGGCTGCTTTAGTGGTCGTGCTCAGAACGAGCTCGCTACGCTAAGACCGGCAACCTTGATGGTTCATCATGCACATTGCAAGTGAACTGTGGCAGCTCGTTATTAGCTCACACTA